GAGAGAGAGAGAGAGAGAGAGAGAGAGAGAGTTTTGTGAAGTATTTTGTTTTGTCAGCTTTTAGTTTCCCAAAGCTTCTTCAATAATATTGTGTTGAAAACTCCAATAAAACTTTAATTTATAGTATAGTTTGCATTAAAAATAAGAAATTTATTTAATTTCCCAACAGTTTGTGTACCAGATTTAGTGGAAATTAGACAAAATCGATGCCTTTTTGCCTAATGTGTAAGAAATACTTAATTTAATTAATATCTTAAGTGAATATAAGCTTAAAGTACACATAAAATAGGCAACGAATTCATTAAACAGAGGAAAAGGTCTTATAATGAAATCAATAATCATTTTAAAAGTGGAGTTGCATTGCAGTTGAATCGTAAAATACATTTATTTCAAATTATTTAATAATTTATAGCATAACTGAAAATTTTTGAATTTAGATACGAGAGACTATTTTTTCGTTAATTAAATAATCAATAAATATTGTGTTAAATCATTATAAAGAGATTTGTTTTTGATGAATTCATTTTTGAAAAATATTTTCAGTCTAAAGCATAAAATATTTATAATAGCTTATCTGATAAAGAAATTTCTATTAAATTGAAAAAATGTCTTCATTAGAGATACAGAATATAAGAGTATATTCTATTAAAATATTTTTCGACAAAAAATAAAATAAGTATTTCGACACAAAATCAACAAAAACGTGAAGCAAAACAAGAATTTTCGTATAAAATAAAATAAGGTCTCGTTTATCATAGAAATTATGTATTCGTTGTCTAAAAGCTATCGTATCGATCACTGGGCAAAAGACTTCATTAATTTGAAAAATTTTTAAGCGATTCCGTGTTTTGAATTTAATTTGAAAAATTGATTTTATTTCCAGATAAAAACCACTCTATATTTGTTATATTTGTCTCAATGAATGATATCTTTGTTTTGCTTTTTTGGAGCCCTTTTTATATTAAATTTATAGCCGAAACTCATTTGAGTAGAAAATTCTTTATAAATTAATTTTATCCAGAATTCGCTCAGAATTAGCCAATCGATGGGCACATTGAAAGGCATAGGAGACTGAATGTGAGGACAAAAAATTGTTAATTTTCTTTAAAATTAAAAACATTTGCCTAACATTTCGTTGGAAATTCTTGCGGCCTTTCAATGCATTGGCAAACGAGCGCTAAATATAGACATGTATTTGAAAGGAAATAATTAAATTTCTGAACCAAAAACACGGCAAAAATATCTTTTGAATTAAAGGCACACTAAATACACACTGGTTTCTAGAAAACATATACTCCCGGCGCACTCACTAGCTATTACTGCCAACCGTAATGAGCGAGCCAACAGGCCAAATGGGAAAGGCATTGAATTGCTATATTCACCATTTGCTTGACTCTGGTATTGATGGCTACGAGTGGCCGACAATTGTCATTCATTACACTTTGAGAGCGGAATTAAATTATATGTAATTAATTACGAGATGTAAACCAATTATATGAATATAACGCGAGTAACGCGTTAAAAGTCTGCACACGTATTGTGTTGGAAGTAAAACGAGACAAACCTCTTATAAGTCTAAATACAATACAACACAATACACAATACGAGCGCCTATTTTCTAACAGCCCCCTCACCATCACTGACTACTGGTATTACATAGTATTATGTATGAAAACAAATTTCTTTGAATTAATTTTGAAAAATTGCTTCCCATTTGACACAACATATTATTCAGTAGAAAAAATTGCCGTACATTTAATCCGCCAGTGTTTTGTCCACAACAAAAAACTTCTGAACCCTAACTTCGCTTCACTTCTAACATATCTTTTTTGTTAAATCGATTTTTGTCTCTCGTTTTTGTGCACTACTACTCCAAATACTATACAATTTACTTGTACTCCACAACTACTACTCCTTTTTGCACAACAATTTACTCTAAGAAATAAGAAATTGTTTTTCTATCTTACAATTCTCTCTCTCTCTCTCTCTCTCTCTCTCTTTCTCTCTCTCTCTTACTCTCTTACTCTCTTTCGTTTCATTTGCCTTTTAATGCCATCCAATAGTGTAATGAAACACGACTTTAAGATTAAATGTCTTTTTTATGTGATTGTTTGGCAACCGTTCAGACAATAGCCTCTTCCCGATGGGTGGTGTTAGAGATGATCCTTTTGGGCGCATTCATGCTCTACATAACGGTATTCAACATTTGTTTCACTTTTTATGCCACCCTTTTATGCCTGCTAATTGTCTGTTAAATACCGCAACCAATGAACCCATTGTCTAAATGTCTGTCAATGTGATTGCGATGATAATCAGGTGATCATCCGGTACTACGAGTCCACACCACTGACCTGTTTCCTGGAGCCCTGGTTTCGTGAAGTGGGGTTTGCCTTCTGTTACGGCGCTATCGTTATAAAGGTTTACCGCATTTTCGCCGAATTCCAGACCCGGAAGGCGCACAGAGTGTGTGTCCGGGACAAGGATCTACTCAAATACCTGGGCGGCATAGTGCTGGTCGTGTTGGGCTACATGAGCGCCTGGACGGCACTGGTATTAGACGGCATCGACGACATCAGTCAAATCAATTGGTTCGATGGGGCCATTAATTTGGACATTAAGGGCAGGAATATTCTGGAGGAGAAGTCGACGCGCGATGGGCTCCGGTATATAGTCTGTCGGCAACTGTCGTGGGATTACGTCACAGAAATGGGTAGGAATTCCTGTCTGAACACTCTTATTAAAACTGACAATAAGAATATGAATTTGAAGAATTTTGAACTGGATGACTTTTTGTGTGGGCTTTCAGGGGAACTGGTATTTCTATTGACCGGAGTCTACATCACATACTGTATCCGAAACGCCAAGAAAGAGATCTACAGAGAGAAGTGGACGCTCGCCGTCTCCCTCTACTTGGAGACTATAGTGTCGTTCACCACATACACCGTACGCCATGTGCTGTGGTTTTACCCGGATCTCCATCCCGACCACATATTCCTCTTATATATGGCGAGGTGTCAGCTCACAGTCACTCCCATGTTATTCATGATATTCTTTCCGAAAGTGAGTTTAACCTCAAATTAAAAGCCAATCAATCTCGTGATTTGATTGCGACAGCGATCTCTAACTGGTCTCCCCTTCTCTGACTGCTCTCCCCTTCTCTCTCGCCCTCTCAGCTCTGGTATCACAACCGGACCCATCGATCAGAGCACCACAGATCACGTCATTTATCATCGGCTGAAGTGGCCGACGCTATACCTGAAGCCATGAAACTGCATTCAGCCATACTATCCAATGGAGAGGTCGATATCGGAGACATTAATCTCGCAGACATGGATCCCGAGGACATTAGAGTATGTAATCCACACCACAATCCTATTCACTGTCAATGTTATGCAGCAGTTATTAGTCACTAAAACCCACATCTCTATTGTGTATTCAATTGCCTAATCATAATGTGTGTTATGATAGCGTATAATAAAACAATTGTAGACTTTATTAAGTAATGTTTGGTCTCTTCCCTGGATATGTAAATAATTGGACAGAAATTCAAACACAAGAATAACACACAAACACTTTCTCTCATTTTAGTCAATCGATAATCACATATATATCTCCTAAACATTAATAAATGTCTCTGAAATGAAACATCTATTAATCGATTGATTTTTTCTCTTTTTTATATATATTTTCATTTATATATATATATATATATCGTATATATATTAATCTGGTTGTGCCGTATAGTCTGAGTTGCGTCGGGTGTACACTCAGCTCCAGGTGCTCAGGAATAAGACGATGCGTAAAGACAACCCACACATTAGCAAACGAAGGGGCGGTAGGAAAACGCACCGACGGTTCTCATTGCAGCCCTTCCACCACAAACACAAACACCCGGAGCAGGAGATGACCGAAATATCGCGGACTCCCGAGGAGTCGACGGCCAGTATGGAAGGGAACACTTCCTGCCAACCGGACGGCCCGTCCACCGTCAGGATTGGGGGCACGACGGCTATGGGCCCGGACTCGGAGGCCATTAAAGTATCTCATGTTAATAGAAGTCATTGAGAATTATTGTATTGATATTTCCAATGTGTTTAACACATAATTTTCACGACAAACTTTTTAAATCAATTATAAATTCACTCATTATTTGTTAAATATATTGCTGTATATTATATATAAATAGTTATTTCTTTATGATTATTAATTACTTTACAAAATAATTTTTTGGTATTTATTATTATATAATTATAATAACTAAACGAAACGATGATATAAATAATAATTTCGAAGAATTCTAACGAAAAAAAGTTAATTATAATTTTATTATTAATGAAAACGATTTCACGAATTGAACGAAAAGCACACAAAACGAAAACCAATTAGTAAATGGTTTTAACATTTCCGTTGTTTTGTGTTATTTATATATTTGTTAACAAATTGTATAAATCATAATATTATTTAACAAGCAAACAAGTAATGATTTCTAGGATTAGTGTCGAGAGATAGCGAGAATGAGAGAGAAATTGATACACGAATTGTGAATATTTGTCATAAACTGTCATAAATTCTTGCCTTACAATGACTTTACAAATATATAAAGAGTATTAGAGACACAAGAATTTTCTCATTATTAATCAAATGTCGCGTTTTGTCACTAAATATAGCGATACTAAAGGACCAAAACATTTATATAAATATGAATGATATGTGAATAACTTATTTCGCGAATTCATTTAGTAATTCATTTGCAAAACTCCCAAAATATCATTTGCCCATTACATCAATGATAATGTGATTTTATATTTGCTATCATTTTTTCTCGAGACTTCTGTTTCGCAACAAAAATTTCATTAATAATATAAGAATAATACGGATAACAAAAATAATAATTAATTTTTAATTTAATTCAAAGAATCGACATTTTTTAATCGATTGGACGTGGATTTGGGGAAAAACTTATAGAAAATGTATTATTTAAAGTTATGTTTGTTTTTCAGATATATTTGAAACCCAAGACTCTCTCTCTCTCTCTCTCTCTCTCTCTCTCTCTCTTAAAATTATAGATCAATCAAATGAATGATTTGTTAGGAATTAAGTAAAATAAAAAGTAAAACTTAATGTTTAGGAGTAAAAGCATCTCAAGTTTGAGTTAACTCTGACACTCTGTTTGTAGTATTATTGGCTGTAATTACATAAGTCAATGATTGTGATGTTGGGTTTGGTATATACTACTGGTGCTAAATGAGAACATCCTCAGGGACTTTCGTTTGACTTATTGTTTGAGTTGAGAGAGAGAGAGAGAGAGAGAGAGAGAGAGAGAGAGTCTTGGGTTTCAAATATATCTGAAAAACAAACATAACTTTAAATAATACATTTTCTATAAGTTATTTACTTAATTCCTAACAAATCATTCATTTGATTGATCTATAATTTTAAGAGAGAGAGAGAGAGAGAGAGAGAGAGAGATTTGGTTTTGGATCCAGAAGTTGATGAAAAAATCTAATAATAAATCCGTATTTTAATCAAATAATTTTGTGAGAGATTTGATAACAAAATTAAGCCATAAGTTTAAGCCAAAGCATACTTTTTAATCCATAAACAGTTTAACACAATTAATGAGATAAATATTGATTCACAAAAACTGCTAAAAATGAAAAAACCCGATAATTAACTCAAGTTTTTCCACTGAAAACGACAATAGTTTTAAATTTCAGCTAAAATTCTAATGAAATTCAATTTGAAGTGAAAATTACAATAATTTAGTGAATCTCTCAGAATTCAAAACCACTTGTCTTTTCGTAATGAGCTCTAAATCAACACAAAAATTGTTTGAATAGAAATGAAAATTGGTTTTTTGAGTCAAAATTATAATAAAAATTTTTGTTCAAATATATTTATAGCAATAACTGATTTGACAAATTGTTAACTTTTATGTTACATTCAATTACTGGTAACTAAATAATAACAACAACAAAAATACTCTGACAACATATTGTAATTTAAAAAGTGATTTTTATTGAATTAATTTCCGTTAAAAAACTTATTATTATTTTAATTTTGCAAAATAAAAATATTTTCCAAAACATTAAACACTGTTCTTTCATACAAACGATAAGTCATCAACATCATTTATTCATATTAAATTAAATGCATTTAGTTTTTCTTTCTAATCAAACGTTGATTAGTATTCACATGCATTGGGAATGTATGTCGAGTGGCACAAAACCATAGGTATAACAGTAATTAGTGTATTTTAGTCATACATTTAATTGACTTTTTCTAATCAATTCATGAATTATTAGAAATAAAAAATACTCAAATTCAAGAGTAAACAAGTTTTGCCTGAAAATATTTTGTACTTGAATATTTAGTCAAATATGTTAATTGTCTAATATTCTGTCTAATATATCACGAATATTCTCTATGTTAATACAAAATAGGTTAAAAATTACTTTTGGAGTACCACTAAAACTCCTTTTCCGAAATCCTTGATAATAGCAACTCGTAAGGAAGTATTGACTAAATAATTGCATAACACTTACAGCCAATGATTAGTCAATGAATTTAGTGAACAGAGAAATACAACTACCGGTGAATAGTTTTTTATAGCAAATGATGTCACATATGAGTTATATATAGATTAAGAATTTAGAGAAATCGCAGTAATAGTGAAATGTTGACATAATTGATCACTTGATATGACTATTGAATGAAATTAGAAATTTTTAATTACAAAATGATTTTGAGGTTCACTTTAATTGTATCGATAATTGTATGGACGGCCGAGTGTTGTGATCGATATGACAGAGAAATGCATTCATGTCTTCACACATATCTGGAAAGGGATTTCTCAGTGATTGAGGACCTCATAGAGAAGTCTCCGTACAGCCAAACAAGCGGTGGTTCACCAGATTTGGGCCAAAGAGAGCTCCAACTAATGTGCCATCAATTGAATGAATTGAAAGTTTGTTACGAAAACTGTTTCCCGAAATGCAAATCATTTGTAAACTATTCACATCTCAAACGTGTTGTTAAAACCATAGGAGCCGTGAATGAGGAGTTGTGTTCCCACGACAGCAAAGGTATCAAAGATTTGATTCAAAACGGCTTTTGTATGGAAGAGACGCGAAAACAGATGAATGAGTGCCAGGAATACGAAGTGTACCGCAAATCAGCACTCGTTTGGCCCCTAATTGTGCCGAAAATGCTTCGCTTCGAAGTGGGCGTCGAGGCCTGCGATCCGTTGATTACATTCAGAGACTGTTTGTCTCCACCACTCAAACACCGGTGCGAAGGCCCGGCGCTTATCCTATGGAATAACACCATGTCTTCAGTGATCACCCAATGGTGTAATTCATCGAAAACTGTTCATCCAATTCATGTGTTTGTAATCCTAATGATATCAATATTTGTATATTTCTAATGTATTAATAAAGTGTCAAAAGGTTTTTATTATAAATAAATTTCAGCAAAAATTAAGTGATAATAAAAAATATATAATTATTTGACAAATTAGAAAAAGTTATTCAAACAAAAAAACACACGTTAACTGAGATGAATGTGACAAACAAACAAAAAATACAACAAAATTTTTAGTAATTAAAAATTCTTACAACAGATTCTTATATAAATAAAATGATAATAATAATAATAATAATAATAATAATTCGTACAAAAAATAATTCATTACAAACGGAGTCGAGAAAACAATGAGAGATACAAATACGAGTAAATGATTAAATTCTAATCAAATGTAAAAAACAATTAAATTTCATATTAAATATGATTTCTTACAATAGACTTGAATTCACAATTCAGTGGTAAATAATGCTATAATGGAGTATGAGTGGGGAAATGGAGTTAATTTTTGTTACATTATCATTTCAACAGCGTTTCAACAGTTCGTTGAGTTTCATAAATATCTTTAAATAATCAAAATAAACACAAAATCATTATTACATACAAAACAATCAATTAATTTCATTATTTAAACAACAATTTCAAGCATTCATACAAAACAATTGCTGTCCAAAAAAGATAATTCACAAAAAGGGCCTAAACTTAGACTCAATTTAAAATTGAAAAATTAGTTTTAGATATAATTTCTTATATTTAAATATATTTAACAAACTTTTAGTTTAATGTGTTTTAAACACAGATATCTATCAAAATATTTAATGACAAGAAATGATCACCAAATGGTCGCTACAGTAGAGACCACCCATTGGTCACCAAAACAAACAACAAACAAATCACCACTCAATGGGCGCACCAATTGATCACCAAATAGTCACCGCAGATGACTACCAATTAGTGCCAACAGCTGATTGGCTACCGCTTAGTACTACCGGTCATCTGATCCACAAAATGGTCACCAAATGAATTTGTAAATACACTTGAATTCATTCATGAGCGCCGGCATTATACAGACGGCGCCGTTCGCTATGCGGACCCTCAGTTTCAAAGTCAATGGATTCTGGGTCTGAGTGGTCTGACCGGCACTACCGGCGCCACCGTTGCTCTGGACGATCACTTCGACGGAGCGGCTCTGGAAGCGCAACGTTGCCATCAGTTGAATGTCGGAGGCGTTGGCGCTCTGCAGACAATACACGGCGTCGAAGTCCAACTCGTTTTGGTCATCGCCGGTGCGCACCGGTATTGCACAGGCGTTGGCCGTCACGAAATTGATCTCATTATCGGCGCCGCAATTATTTGACGTGATTTGCTGTCGGATGAGAGCCGTGGCGTCCGACGAGCGCACCTGAAGGTAGTGGCCGTCCAGTGATGTCTTACTTGTGGCGCAATTCTGTTCACCAATCAATCAGATCATAGTTACCATTAATAAGAGACACCAATCGGTGACCACTTAAGTGATCGCAAAATAGTGAACAAAACTGATACCAAATTAAAGAAGTATGGATTGAGGAGCTGTTGCTGCGATTTGAACCTTCCGGTGACTATCAACTGATTCTCTTGAGTCAACTGATAGACAACGGACTGCGACTGCGATGATGAGAGGCCGGCCGTGAGGGACAGTGTGTCGGGTCCTCTCACATGACTGATCCAATTGGTGCGACTGAGGGCCGACTCGTGGGCCGGACTGTGGCTGTTGTTGGACCCGTTGGGGTGATGGTTGACAATGATCTGGTGGGCGTCGAGTTCGCAGGACACCAGTGAGGCGCCGATGGTTAGGACACCGATGCGGAGGTTGTTATTGCGGTTATTGAACGTAAACCGACGGATCATTTGGCGACAGTTCAGGAGATCCTCTTCGATGGAAATCACTTCGTTGTTGTGTATCATATCTGATGGTCAATGGCATGAGATAATGAGTGGACACAAGAGTTTGAGTGGACACAAGAGGTGCCGGCGTTTACACGTACTTATGGATGGCTTCGGCGGTGCACTCGTCGCGTGTGGTCTCGACCGAGACGTCTGTCCGCAGTGTCTGTCCGTCTGTTTGTCCGTAAAGTCTTCCGCAAAGAAATGACAATCAATTCAGTGTCCGATTGAAGCCATGGTTGCAGTGATCTGTCATTCAGTCAACACTAAGACCGAGACGTCTGTCCGCAGTGTCTGTCCGTCTGTTTGTCCGTAAAGTCTTCCGCAAAGAAATGACAATCAATTCAGTGTCCGAAACTTCGGTACCAACGTCACTAGACAGTAAGTCAGTTGTGATAACCTCAGATATAACCTCAGTTATGAGCGAAAGTTATTGTTTACTTTTGTATTGTGTTTAATTACGGTAAAAACAGTATGCAAAACAGACACCAAACCACGAGATATAACGTTACGCCTAAATGTGAGCGCAGGTTTTCAGACCCCTTTCCACTTAATGCAAGTTTAGTTTCAGTTTCAAACCATTTCTAATTATACTTTAATTTTTAATTATTATATAATATATGCTCAGTGCTCATAGTTATATACATTTCAAGTAAAATTAGCATATTTTACGTATTTTTATGTAACAATGTTTAACACATTTATTATGTACTGTATTATATTTTATATTCGTATGAATGTCTATTTTATCATATCATATATTTCTCTCAGGTATTGACTACTTATATAACTTAGAATCTCTCTCTCTCTCTCTCTCTCTCTCTCTCTCGGCAACTGTCGTGGGATTACGTCACAGAAATGGGTAGGAATTCCTGTCTGAACACTCTTATTAAAACTGACAATAAGAAATTTAAAGGCATTATAAAAACTCTAACAACACTTTGTTTGACAATTCGTATGATATATAATCACAAATAATAAATATATTTGAGGGCAAAACAGCAATTCTATCGCTTAATTAGTTTTTCCGTTTGCTTGTTGAGATACAAACGTCCAGTTGTTTTGCCATCAAATAAGATATATTGGACTTCGCTTTCACTCTCACAATACAACACCACATCACCAGAGGTTTTGACATATTATGGCCTAAAATATCGGTTAATTGCAAATCGATTCCCAATTTCTTGACAATCAGTGAAGTGTTATAATTATGAGATTTTCTCATCTCTTTTAACGTCAACTCTCTCTCTCTCTCACACACACACACACACACTCACTCAAAATAACTTAAACCCCAAACTGGGATTCAATTTTTAAAAATATGCCTACTCGTATACCTACAAGTGAAATGACATTAAATTAATATTTTTATAACAAATTTTATAACATTAAGTAAATTTGCTGTCAACTCAATATAATAATTAATGTAAAGTCAAACAAATAATTTAATAAAATTCTTAGAAATAATTTTATATAAACTGATCACAAGCTTAGGAAATCGATATTTGCCATCAATTTGATGATTAATAACTTAATAGCGTTTTGTCGGAAATATTTTTGTAGAAATTTTCTGTCAAAGGATTTCACGATATTTAAGAAAATTCCTGTTCTTATCATTAGATCCGGATATTGAGAGTAAACTTATGGCATAATTCATAATTGAATTTATTTCTCGCTTTACTTTCAAAGCTCTCTCTCTCTCTCTCTCTATTGCAACGAAAAAATTTTAAGATAAAATTTTTACTTAAAGTAAAATCAAATTTAATGACAGAAAGGGGTTCCCATAGACTCTATAGCATAGAGTGATATTAATGTACAGCAATAGTAATGTTTAAACATTTATTACACACAAGAGTTTACACTTAACTTAAGTATTATATTATATGAAAAATTCATTTCAAAAACTTTTTATAACTCTTATTCGTAAAAATAATGCAATTATTGTGTAAGAAATTGTTGTCTGCTATGACGAGCCCTTTGGTGACCCCGTATTTAACTAGAAAAGCCTTATCTGACAATCAAGAGGCAGACATTTAATCTAATGGATAAATATCTCAAATATAACTTAAGTCGAAGAGATTAGTGGCGAAAACACAAGAACTCATGAGTGAAATAATGCCTCAAAATGTTTATTTACAGAGTATTTAACAAATTTAATGATTCATTCAATTAAGCGATCGATTGGTTCCGCGAAAATAAAAACTTATTTAACGCTCAAATAAGTCTGAAAATATTAATATATAAAATGTACACTTTTTTGCTTAACTCTAACTCGTATTTGATTAGACAAACTATTGTTTCAAAATGTGTTGAAAAATGTGTTTTTGTTTAGCAGTTGCGATATTTTTTTGAAAGCTTAGCAAAAGATTTTTATCTATTTTTTATAACTTTTTTGTAAGAAGTATTCACTAAAATACTGAACATTGGGTTTCGTATTACTGTTAAGCCCTTACAGATAGGCATTTATTTCTCAAGCATTTCATTATAAGATTATATTTTGCAATAAAAGCTAATTAATTAGACTTTCACTCATTTATTGCCAGAATTTAATCGAAATTTAATTCTTTTTTATTGCAATCAATGCAAACAAATTAATACAAATAAACCGTTTTTGCGTTTATTAGAGTTAGTGAACAGCGAGAGAGAGAGAGAGAGAGAGAGAAGAGAGAGAGAGAGAGAGAGAGAGAGAGAGAGATTACCATTTTATGTTCCCATAGTATACATTATCAATCATTTTGTTTCGTATAGTGTATTAGATTTAAATCAATAGAAAATATTCACAAATAATAGCTTTTATACATAAATATAATGTAGAAATT